GTGCTCGTGCTGGGCAGTCGTAGCCAACAAAGATGTGTACTCTGTGGATATTGTTGCAAAGTCCCTGGTGTTGGTGGCAGGGACTCTGCAGTGCACAGGGCTCATGTCTGAGTAGTTCAATCTTAATTCCAAACTTCAAACAAACCCAGTGAGTAAATGCCTTGCAGAAGGTGCCTCCAGCAATTTAGGGCCTCCCTGTCATCCCCCTGGGGGCTGTGACGTTTCCCTTTCCTTGGCTGTCTGGACTCCCTGGAAGGTTGCTGCTGATCTGCCTCAGGCACAGGCACCTGCATCTCAAGCAAGTGCCTCTGTGCAGCCTTTTCCTCAGGGTCCCTGTTGGCACAAGAACTTAGTCTAACCCAGCCTTCTCCTGCAGGCAGGCCTGGGGGTTGGCAGAGGAAACCCTTATTTCCATTCTTAGAAATGGAAGAGGACCATGGGAGATCCAGCTCTGCAGAGGTGGCTGAAAGGCTGGCAAAGAGTCCATTGAGTTAAAGTGCCTATTTCATATCCAGTGGCGGTAGAATATAAACACACTGAAAATCCTCTGCCAGCAGCCCTCTCCCCACACTCACTCAGAGCTATTGGGAAACCAGCTGCAGACAGTTACCCAGCCTTCTCCTTTCTGCTCCTGCCTTGCTATGTTTCCACTCACTCTGTATCTCTCTACCTTGTAGTGACATTCAAGAGCAAAGAGAAGCAAGGGCTGATTGCAGCAGAAGAAAGCTTTACTATCTCCACAGAAGTGCAGAAAAATGAGCATGGCCAGGGGTTAGGCTCCAAAAGCCAGAAATGGAGCATAAAGGAATTTCAGATTAAATCACCTTAACTCTGCCCAAGGCTGAGCTGATGAGAATAGTCCCTCTGCTTCACCCAATGGCAGGACTGTTACGATGAAACAAGTGAACTAAGGAATGGTCTTGAAGCTCCCCTGTGGTAGGTAGCACATATTACAGGACTCAGGGGGCCTTTCCTGCCTGACTTGAAGCATCCCCTGTCCTCACAGCCCAGGGAGCAAGAGGGCAGCTGTGGGGGTCTGTGCTGGCCGCCAATCCCACGGAGGCAGCACTGCCAGCTCCAGGGCTGAAGTCCTGGATTTATTCTGGGAAGAGCTGCTGTGCAGTGTAGAAGTGAGCTCTGTACATATGCCTGTGCAGCCCTGCAGCACAAAGTCAACACAGCCCCTGCCAGGCCTTGAGCTGTGGCTGGAGAGAGGAGGTGCCAGGCTCCCTGGTCCCTCCCAGGTGGGGGTCAGACTCCTCTCTGTGTAGAAGCCTTCCCCCAGCATCCTGCTGGGACATTGCCAGGGCTTGGCAGGTGCTTGGGTCACCTCTCAGATACCCTTGGGGCATGGTGCTTGTGCCCTGCCAGGTTAGCATGGCTCAGCAGTGACTGCATTACAGCAGCCACCCCACCAGGGCTAAACCCTGGGTGTCTGCACTGAGATGGAGCATCTTACTTCTCCCCTTCCTCCAGAGGTAAGCAGGACACTTGAGGAGACATCTGGCTGCATGGTAGTCCTGCAAGGCCAAAACTGACTAAGTCTCACTCCTGCTGTTTCACCTTTTGCTGCCAAGGGCTGTTTAAATAAGCCACAGTCATTCACCATGCCCTCTGGTCCTCATGCTGTGCTGTGCTCTGCTCTGGAGCTGCCTGGGCTTGGGGCTCTCACCAAGGCTGGGAGGTTCTGGCAGGCTCAGACTGATTGTGCTCCTTGAGTGTGTAACCCCGGGGTTATCTCTGAAAATCCAAACAGCCTGGCAGGTTATAAGCATGTGTGGCTAATAAGGGAGGAAGTTTTGCAGCCCTTGAGCTTGTCCCATTTACCTTTCATCTCCTACAGTTTTTTCACCTCCCCAAAGGGCCTGGGACAGCCATAATTGGAGATGGGGGCTGTAATGCTAGGTTAAATATCTGTGCTTTCTCCACAAATAAGGTAAGCTGCACCCTGGCATACATGAGATCTGTGGACAGCTCACACAGGCTGAAAATTTTTTATTGCTCTGTCTTTACCCTGATATCTTTACACCACACAGACTGCTCAGGATAGCTTCTCCCCCCAACCATGTGGGATGCAATGCCAATCATGCTCAGCATCTCCCACATGACAGCATCCCATGCACCCTCCCCCTCTGCCTCCCAGGCAGCTCAGGCAGAAGTTGGTGTCATCTGCCCCTTGAACTTCACAAAAAGCAACAAGGCCATGGGGTACATGTTTGGCTGGAGGAGTGCAGCTCCACTCCTAGAAAACAGGAGCCCAATAGTCATGGTCCTAAGGCTCACACGACTTTGTTTCACAGAAAAAAAGTAGCCAGGCCATGCATTTGTGCTGGCTGCTGCCATCTGTGGCTGCCCAGAGCTGTAGTTTGCAGCAGACTGCAGCCAGCTACAGCCAGCCCCAGGGCTTTCTGAAGAGATTGGCAGCATTACCCCTGAGGAAAGAGGCAGCTGAAGGTCACAAGCCGGTCCCTGCAAAGCTCTTCCTTTGCAATGACAGGAGCGTGTCCTGAGGGTGCTCAGGGAAGGAGAAAAGCATGTGCAGAGCCAGCAGCCCACATTGCCTTGTTGCTCTGTGTCTTTGGCTGATGGCACTGCAGAGATGATGGCAGATCCTGACAGAGGGTCTCCTGCCTCTACTGGGTGTGATTTACCTGGAACTGGGATGTATGGGAGACCTTTACACTTGGGTCTAAGTTGACCGATGGCTGGCTTGCTGTTGACCTGTGGGTTTAAAACATTTTGAGAAAGGGACCCACGGGCTGAATGGCCACTATCAAACAATCCCTGCTTATAGGAAATGGTGTTAAACCAGAGCGAGCTGAGATGAATGGAAGAGGGTGCTAATGAGGGAGAAAATGAGTGCAGCATTTTATGCTCTGAAACTTCATGGCACAGTCCCTCCAAGAGACAACAAGATGCTCAGCGTTGACACTCCCACATTGCTCTGAAGAGAAGGACTTCTTGCTTCCCGAGAGGTGGCTGTGCTCCAGAGGGTGGATGCCAGTACTTCCCTGTGCATTTGGGCACCTCCTGGGAGACCACCAGTCTCTGAGAAAGGCCATGCACACCTTAAAAATCAGGGCCTCAGTAGCTTCTGGGCAACCCACTTGAACAGACAGACTAAATTACAGGAGATTTGAAAATCTCCCCTCAGGTTTTCCAGGGAGACCTGATGGAGCCTCTTGCCAGCAGCCACCTGAGACAAGATGAGGTTACAGCAAGCAGTTGTGAGCATGTAGGCGAATCTTTTGCATGTATTCATTTGAAGATGATTAAAAGTCTAGCCATAAAATGAAAGAAAGACTACATCCTGGAAATGAAAACCCTGCACTGAGGTGGGAGACTAGCCTTCAAAGCAGTCCTAGCAAGCCTATTTGAATACTTCTTGTATGAAAATTGAGGCAGCGTCAGAGCCATGGCTACAGGGCTCACTCCTTCCCTTGTTTCCCAGTCTCTTCCCAATGAGTTTGCCACAGCAGCATTGTCTAAGATGCTGAGCTCTGGAGATGATGTGCTAACTGCAGGGCCTGCTGGAGGTTTAGAATAGTTTTAAGTAATGCGAGCTGCTTGATGAGATGAACCAGCTTCTCTCTGCCAGGACGCCTGCTATGTATGGCAAACATGCTCCATACTGGGCTTCAGGCACACTTCCCAAGCCATCAGTGCAAAAAAATTAAGAGGGCACAATATGTCATGAAGGAGCTACTCCAAACCCCCTGCCTCCCCAAAACAACAACAAAAAAAGGGTCCCTTATGTGTTTAATATTACAGTAAAGAAACTATTTAATCTACCTGCCACAATTATAATACTAATTTATCTTGATTGCTGTGAGCACTAGAAAATTGATACAGCAAGCTCCTCTGCAAGGAGGCGATTGTTTCTATTTTTGTGAGGACTGGTATTCATGGGATTAAGCAAGATGCTCTGGACACAGCCCCAGCTCCCCGGGTGGCTGCCTTGGGGCAGTGGAGCAGCAGCAGCGTTTTGCATGGGGCTAAAAGCACAGCCAGTGTAAAGCAAGTGTGCGGTGCAGTTTGATCTGGCTGAGAGCAAAGCTGCCGTGAGTCATGAAATAAAGCCAAAATGCTCATTCTGCATGAGACTTTTGCAGTCAGTTGGATTCAGACAGTGTTATTTTGGGGAATAATAGCAACTCTGTCTATGTCTCTTCCACCAAATCCTCTTGGAGTGCTCCTCCCCTCTGCCTGAGCATTGGGATTGCTCTGCTGGTTCCACACTCAAGGAAAACAGACACTCAACAGGGAAGACTAAATATAACACATACAAAAGCCCATAGCAATATGTGGGCCCTACAACAGCAAATAGTTGTAGTTGCCTGGGCTGATGCCCTTCTGGCTTCAACTGACAACCTTCCTGCTATCTTCTAGGTAAGAGGAACAGCTGCTGGTGATTGACTTTGGCAGCAGGGGCTGCATGGTGATGCCAGACTGCAAGGGGCTCACGCCATCCTGCTGCTTCTCATCTCTTCATGCTATGATCCAGAGACCTGGCAGGAGGCTGGTGACAAAAGACCCCAAGCAAAATATATGCTTGGGAAGTGACCAGACCAGTATCAAGTCCTGGCAGTATGATCACAGCTGCTGAGTTTCCTAGACTAATATCCTAGAAGTGATCTGTGGACAGCCTGATGTTAGCATCCCATTCCTGCAACCTCACACCAAAAGGTGTCCTCTATGCACTTATAGTAGGAGAAGCAGAGTTTTCCCATGCAGCTAACGTTATTTCCAGCACTGCCAATCAAGAAGGAAGACAAGAACGGGCTGTGATTCACAAAATCACACATGAATCTATTTTAGAGCAGTTTGGGTCTCCAGTGTTTGCCATTCTCTCCCCTGGAGTGCACCATGCCATCTGCTCCAGTAAATGCAAATGCTGATGCTGAAGAGCAGCATCCTGCAAGGCAATGGGAGAGCTTTCATGCTCAGCACTAACCCAATCTTGTTGTCTCTCTCTGTGTGTGCCAGGTTGAGGTAACTCAATCATTTAGCACACTGTGGTCTTGGCTGCTTCTGAAGAGCTTTTGGATGAGAAGAATTAGCCTGGAAATATGTTGCAACTCACTGCATGGTAGAGGCAGAGCTGCAAGGAGCACATTAAATCCTACGTCTGGAATTTGCACTGGGCTTGTGCTCAAACCCAAGCAGTTGGTGCAAGGTGAGAAACCTCCCTTCTGGCTGAAGAGTGAGGGTTGGGTTGGCTGAAGAGTGAGGGTTGATCACACCACATCCCAGCAGAGTGCACCATCAACAAGCAGCTATGCAGGTATGTGCCAGCAGCAGGGGTGCTCTGCTCCACAGGCATCTGGCTGCTAGCTGCAGCTCTCGGGATGCCAAGAAATGGATTAACCCCTGCCATGTCTGAGACAGACCTTAGAAATGGCTAGGAAAGGAACAAGGAAATGCCACTTGCAGCGTTGTGTATCTGAAGCCAGGGTATGACCATGTCTCAGATGCTCTGCACAACTATGATCTCTGCAGTGCCAGAGGAGAGCACCAAGGATTGTTAAAGGTCTAGGATAGTTTCTATGCCCAGAACAGGGTAGGGTTATTCAGCTTTGTGAGAACAGATGAGGTACATCTGTAAGCAGGCAAAGAGGAACTGTCCTTTACCAGGTGAAGCTCTTGGGTGTCCTGTTATAAAGAAGGAAGGGGAGGTAATTTCTTCTCACAGTGCAGAGCTGAGAGGAGGAAGTCCCTGCTGTGGGATATTGAGGTTTGCACGAGTTCAAAAAGGGATACCCTGAAGAAAAAGCCATAAAGGGCTATTAGATGAAGACACCTTGTCTGGCTCAAGAAATGCTGATCACTAGAACCTGGGTGAGGTTTCAGGGAGAACAGCATGTTTTCCCAGTTCTCTCTCTCCTCCTTAAGCATAATTTATTTTTCTGTGTGGCTTTTTTGCCCCTTAATTTTGTTGAAAGCTCCTTGGGGAACAAGAAAATTGATGTATGGAGAACAGGCTGTCCCACAGTTATAATGCTTTATTGCCCAGTGGCAGTAAGTAAGATCTTCTGTGATAGCCTGAGAACAGAGCAGATTGGCCTGGTTTATAGCCTCCTTTGTCTCCCTGGAGCTCTCAGTGCTGCTTGGAGTCATTAAAGATGTGACCCTGGAAGTGCTGGCAGAGGATGAGCTTTGCTGTTCCTTCCTGCATGAGTGCCTTCACTGTGTGCTTCACATTGCAGTGGGCTGCACTGTTGTCCCAGGTATGGAGTAAACGAAGTATGTGAGATTCTAATGCAAACACTGAGAGCAGGCATCAGAGACTTCAGGGCATCAAGGAGGACACCAACTGTGCTTCTGGCAGTGAGGACTCAGTATAGCCAGATTCCAGCCTGCACCATGATGTTCATGGAAAGAACACACATAGGCTAGTTGGATGAGAAGCCATTATCTGTATGAGCTGATCCCTGCTCTGGCTAAGCCTAGAAGCAGCGGCCAAGAGTAGATGCAGCCTTTAGTACACCAAGAAGGAGGGGAAATCTACAGACTGTTGGAATTCAGAAAGCCAAATTCCCTTCTGAATAAAGCAATCTGCTCAAAGCTGGGTGGGGAGGAACTGTTTTGCAGGCATGTTAAAGCCAAGCTAGTTTCCCAAGTAATAATAATTAATCAGATGTTTTCTTGTGAAGTTACATGGGTCTAGAGAAGAGCTGATAAAGACAGTTCTTTTTCTTGGTATGCGTTATTAAGCAGCTGAGAGCAGTCATGAGATGCTAATGGGTATCTGTGATGCTGCAGCAATGTTGAGTTTGCTACTTCTGGAAGAGGAGGGCCTTATGTCATGATGTGGGTTTTTACCCTTTTAGACAATGACCTCAGACAAGGGACACAGTGAAAATGCATCTTTGCCGTGGGTGTTCACTCTGTGTGTTGAAAGCAGAACCAGAGATGGGGTATGTGCAAGGAGGAACTTGGAGCTGTTAAGTAGAAGATGGAAAAGCAGAACAGAAAGGAAGGTCTCTGCCATTTTTTGTGTGAAGAGTTTTACTTCTGTTTGGGGAGGAGCAAGGTGTAGTCAGCTGGTTACTCTGGGGTAAGGAGCCTCAGAGTTTCCTGCTTCAGAGCAGACTTGCCAGGTTCTGGTCACAAAGGGTAGAAATATGTTAGTGTGCCATGGCTGCTTGGCTGAAAGCAGGACTGGCTGGAGGGGTGAGCAAGAAGTGTGTGTGACAGTGTGGCTGCTGGGAAGAGTGAAGGTGCTGTGCCAGAAAGCATGGTGGGGCATAGAGATGAGGCTAGAAGAAACCAGGAAGGTTCGGCCACTGCTTATGAGAGCTGACAAGACATCCATAGTGATCAATTCAATCTGCAGTTGTCATAAGCAACAGTGAGCACTGCCCCTTATCCAGCCACGTTGTTGCTTAATCCCTGCAGACTCTCCAGCCCATCTGTGCAGGGGACACTTAACAGCTAACAGGTGGGCTGTCCATCTTCCCATGCTCTTGGCATGAAACTGCAGCAAGGGGGGACAGCAGCACTTCCCATTGCTTTATATGTTGTGTCCAAACTGACCTCATAGACCTGCCTGGCAGGAGACCCTTCAGTGGAGCATGGTATTGAAGGACCAGAAACAATCCTTCAACACACATATAGATGTGTGTGAATCTATATATGCATTTGTCTGCAAATGTACACGTATATATACACACACAGGAGTGTGTGTATCACTGAGTGAGAGCCTCCTAATGATCTACTAGCACAGCTGTCCTCCAGAGAGCCCTGCATGCCTGCAACCCTGGGGAGATGCTTCTGCCTGGTTGGTGTGGGCTGGCAGTGATTTTTCTTCCTGTTCCCAGCATGGAAGGATCAGAGCCCCAGAGCCAAGTCTAAGCTACCAGGACTAGTCTTCCTCCCATCATCCTGTCCTGAGCTAAACCTGGGCTTGGCCTCCTTAGGGAGTATGTATTACCCTGTCCTACCTTCTCAGGGAGGGTGCAGGGGAGCTTTGGGCAGGATCTGGTGGCAGTCTGGGAGGCTGAAAGGTGGGATGTGCGACAGGGCTGCTGTGAGGCTGGGCCTGGGCTGTGGCGTCTGCAAGGAGGTCCTGATTTCCTTTTCTGTTCTCCCCAGGTCTCACGGATAACTCGCAGACCTTGCGAAGAGCAGGACGAGAAGGCAAGGCCTTCCTGCAGCCTTGTGCTGCTCCCCTGTGGCCGCGTCGAGAGGCATCACAGGCAGATCCTGGTGGGTGAAATCCTGATGGGTGGTGGTGAGGGAGCTGTGGCAGCCCTTAAGTGGAGGTCCTGGTTTCCTTCTCTGCCTCCTCCGCCTCGCAGATAACTCTCACCAGGTTGGGAAAGAGCGCAGGATAACAAGGATGTGGCAGAGATGCAAACACAAGCCTTTATTTTTTTTTAAAATCAGCAAACTGGTTTAAACCCTTTTGGGCACTATGTTCAGTGCCCAATTTACCTTCTGGGTTTATCTTCCAGAATCGTTGAAAGAGGTTGAAATGGCTTCAGTTTCATTATCCTGATAATTCATTTGCTTCTTAAAAAGATCATACTCTCACGTTGTGTTCTGAAAAAAATGTCATGATGAGGGCAAACACATCAAATTTTCTACCACTTAGAGGGTGATGAGAGCAGTTTAGCTCCTGTTACTGCCCAGAGCAATAAATTGTTTCCTTGTGCATTCATAAAACTAGTTCTCCAGACAGCTTGAATGTAATTCCTTTCAAAATTAACCCTTTTATATACTGGAAAGAATACTAAGGTAAAAGATGCTGTTACTTTAAGTTTCTTGCTAGGCTGCATCACAGCAGGTGTCAGTATTTCCTAGTTCTCCCCAGGAGAGCCTTCGGTTGGTAAACTTGTTTTTCCAAGGCTGTTTGGCTTCTGGGAAGATTTGCCTACAGTTCTCAGTGTTGATGCTCCTCCTGCCTGTGCTGAGGCTTTTGGAGGCTGGAGGTACCATTTGTGAGACCACTTCATTGCTCATTAAAATACTCACTAAGGCAAGATGCTGCTGCTGCTTTGGGACAGGTGCTGGCCATGTGTGCTGGCCACAAGGATACAGGTTTGAGGGAGGTTTACACAAAATAAAGACAATACGGCTAAGAAATTGAGGTAGAAAAATGACAACTGAAGGATAATGGGTCCAGTTATTTCCTGTCCCTCTGGAAGAGTGTCTGTCACCCACTTTGCAAAGCTGTCCCAGACTGGAGTTATTTGGATTCCCTGGTAAGTCAGGGAGTCTCTCAGCACTGGAGCCTCTCTCTGCAGGTCTCATGGGAGCATTGCAGTCAGCATGGCTGCTGCTTTGGGCCACATGCTGAAGTAGGAGTTGTAGCTTCTGTGTGCAAAGTGTTCAGGTTGCTTGTGCAGGATTGAAAAAGGAATTATTTTTTTTCTTGTTATCTGCAAAAAGCTTCAGTTTTTGAAACTGAAGTAAAAAATACCTTTATTACAATAGTTCTGAATGCTCTGAAATTTTATTTTTAGCAACTTAAGCATTAAGTAAGACATTTTCCTAGGAAGATGTAGGTGTTTCATGAAATCCAGTTTTTCTGCTGGAATAAATTTTAGACAACAGATTGCAGGCAGTTTAGTTTTGACCACGGACACACAGCACAGAGTCAAGTAGAATGCTACTTTCTTTATGAGAACAAGGTTGCAGTAGCTTAGAAAGTGATGTAAGGCAAGGTGTCCCACTGTAATTTAATAATTTTTTTTTTACAATCATGGCATCCATCATCTTTGGGAAGAGTGCTTAAAATTACTGGAAAGTTGGACCAGATGATCCTTGATGTCCCTTCCAACCTGGCATTCTGTGATTCTCTCATCAGTTCAGCAGGAGCCTTCTACTATATTCAAGCCCCCCTTAGCTTTGGGAGACAGATAGGAGAGAATCTAAATGTGAGTGAGAAAAAGAGACTTTTCAACTGATGGAATTGTAAAGAAAAAACTGAAAATATTGAAAAAAATATCTTCAGAACTTGGGGCAAACAAACTCAGCACCTCTTAGAGTAAAAGCCACTGTATGTGCATAGGAATATAATTGTGTACAGTGGGCTAATGGCTGTGCAGATGTACACCTGTAGGTTCTCTTCTATACACAAATTTAAAAATAGTTTGACTTATAATATTGGATTAAAAAAAGAGAAAATCTGCTGTATTTTAAGGGGCTAAGCACATCAGGTGTTTTTTCCATCACTGCTGCCCCAGCTCCCCAAGCTAATGCTGAAGTAAGCTGGGGATTTTGACTGCACCCACTAATTCTGGATCCTTTTCCACAGTCCCTCTACTGCCACCTGCCCTTCCCAGCCAGCTGCTCCAAGGACTTACTGCTTGGTAACTTACTTGGTAACTTGCTGCTTGGTGTGGGGGAGCCTGACATCAGGGGAAGGCAAAGGCCATGCTGGAATTAAAATGAATGCAAGGACAGGAGGGTAACAGAGCCTGCTAGTCTCCCAGGAGTCATACACATGGCAACCCCGAGGGTCTTGCACACCCACCTGGACAGGCTCCCGTGGCCCCTTCCCGGACTGAGGAAAAGACATGATAAGCAGGAAAAGGACCAAACATGCTGAGCACCCCAGGGAGGCAGGAGGGTCTCTGCTGGATCCTTCCCAAAGTGCTGTCCTCCTCCTTCCCATCATCGAGGTATTGCTCTTGGGGTAGTTTCTTTGAACCCTTCGTGGAGTCGGCTCTTACAGGCCCAATACCTGGGTGGAGGCAGAGCTGGACATCCTGGGGAAGAAAGTATGTACTGTGTGTGGCAGGGCTGGGGTGGCCCTTGGATGTGTGGCAGAACCCCAGGGACATATCAAAGCTCTCAGTGCTGGCCTGCAGGGGTGATGAGGGCATTGGGGCTTTCTGTGTGTCCTGGGAGTGCCTGGATGCTGTTCTTTTGTCACCTGTTTGTCCTTTCCACTCCTTCCCTTGACCACTAGGACTCCCTTGCCAGGTGTCCCTGCCCCATCATCATCCCTGAGATCTGCACACTCCTGATTCCTGCAGAGTGCCCTGGGAAAACAGTTGCCCAGGTCTGCTGGGATGCTACCTCAAAAAAAGAGTACAGATGGGTGGATCTGCTCCTGGGCTGCATCACTGGTAGGGGTGCATATTAGGGCTGTGCTGTGATGCTGTTTGTACAGATGGGATACCTAGCACTCATGGGCCACCACATCATGTGACAAATGTCATGGAGCTGCTGTCACAGGCCTGGTGCATCTCCCTTGTGCCAGTGCTCTGGGACATCTGACCCAGAGCTGTGCAACACCCTTATCTTTCCACCTATCTGATGGTGCCTCTGCCCTGAGCTCCCAACTGACAGCTGTGCCAGAACCTTTCCTGTGCTGGCCATGTTTCTGGTACTTAGTCTCTTCCACAGCATGCAGGAGATCATCCCAGACTTTGTCCTTCCTGAACAAATACTCCTTCTATGTGCCTGAACATCTCACAGGCAGTGAGTGGTGTCAGTTACAGTGTTCCCACAACAGGAACTGCCCGGACTCAGCTGATGTGCAGAGAGGTTTCAGGGGGAGGCTAGAGGGGACGAATGCACCGCAGGGACGGGCAATGGATGTGCCTAAAGCACAGGCTGGTGGGGTGGGCACCACTAGAAGCCGGGTAGCACGCCAAAATCTGTGGAGGGGCAGCAGGCTGGCAGCTGTCCCCGTGTGTGCAGGAGGGAGCCTGCCAGGCTCCCCCGTGCCCATCTCCTGGGCAATGCCCCTCCGCTCGCCAGGTGGAAGGGAGCACCTTTCCCAGGCTGCAGCAGGTGCCTTATCCTCTTGCTAGGCCTCAGCTGCTGCTTTTGCTCTCTTCGTTGAGCTTCAGCGGCTTCTCACACGCCCCCAAGGCCGAGGACCAGCGGCAGGAGGATGTTTTGGGAGGGTGCCCCTGTGTTCAAGGCTGCCTCTGCCTTCCCACGCCCGGCGCAGGTGCCGCGGGCCCCGGTTCACACGGCTGGCTCTCACAACAACCCCGGCCCGATAAGGGATGGAGGGGGCAGCGAGGCGGGCCTGGGGACCCT